ATATATATATATTTCTGTTTAAACTTGTTCTTATTTCATTTATTGTTTCTTTTACTGGGATCCTATTTTTAGACTTTCAACTGTATACATGTGCTCTGTTCTCACTCTAATTAATGGCCGAAGTAACACGCAGTAGCAGCGCATCCATTTTCTTAATCACCCTCTAATGATGAAGTGACGTATGTGTAACCGTGTACGTGCATGCATACCTAAGTATTCGGAAACTAGACTACAAGCATGTAATGCTGATTACATGCAAGGTGATCCCACCTTCACTCAGAACCCAGAATGCGTGTGTGTGAATGTTCCACTCTAATACCCCTGCACGCTGTAATGGTGAGACAACGAGAAAGGAAACAGTCATATACATTACATCCTTCTACCCAATTAAAAAAAGCCCTTCTCACTTCTCTATTTACTCTGTTGGTCTCTCAGCAGAGAGCCCAGCCCACACAGTCAGCAGACCACAGACCCACTTTAATAACATTCGTCAGCTTGCTGGGAGTCCTTTAGCCGACACACGGCTAATGCAGAAAAATGTTTGTTTGTTTTGTTTTTTAACATTTTAAAAACTAGGTTTGCAACACGGACATTTACATGAAATGATAAAAGCTGGAGTTACTCAATTATTAAAAAAAGTTCTTGATCTGCTTGAATTTTAAATATATTTCAACTACAAATATAGCAACGTCAAGTCTTCCTTAGCAACAGCTTCCCTACAAATATAACGTTTCAAATAGGAGAGAAACTAATATAATCTGGCTTCATCACAATCTCACAGGAGATACTGCTGCAGCGCTGGCTCCTCAATCAGCAGATGCATCAAAGGCCGGACTTACTAAGGAGGCCAAATTATCAGTCTCAATAAAGATGTAAGTGCAAAATTCAACAATAATGGACCGACGTGTAAATGGTGATACAAAGAACAGTGCAATGTAGCAGATCAAAAACATACAGCAGTGATGAGGCAATGAGTGATGTACTAATATAGGTACAGCCTGTTATGTTAGCACTCTATGTATGCATTTTATATGAAAAGGAAGGAGCAGTTCATTCACTTGTAGGTGCTGCTGCCTGCAAGCGTTGACAAAGCATACAATATTTTTTAATACTGTGTCATCAGAAATATAGTTATTGGAAATTGTCTTAAAATTTTGTCTTGTCACGTTATAAACCTGAAGTCTGTGTAACTTGTAGAAGAACATTTCCTCCAGATTCAGGACCCGACCCTGACCGACCCAGCCTCAATAAAGGTCCTGCAGCTGTGGCACGTATGTATTTGTGCATATTAATTTTTAATTTCCTGCACGGTGTGTGATACTGCAGGTATTTATTATTGTTGATGGACGAGGACACACAGCCAATTGTAAGTAAAACACAGAATCTGCAAACTTGTACGCTGGCGAGAGCAAGTCTTCAAATCAGATCTGATCAAGTTAAGGCACGAGGCACCGACCCAGCTCAAATACTGGAAGTCAATTTACTTATAATGCACCAGTTCAAAACAGTCATGAAGGCAAAGGTGGAGACTGGGATAGTAGAACGTAATAAATGATGTTCACATGGTCATGAAATGTTGCGTGATGTGGTGACCGTGGCCATGTGACTGGAAAGGTTTGTACTCTACCTGATGTCTTATTTCTTGCATATTTATCATCAAATGTTTTAGATCAAAAAAAAAATTTATTAGACAAAAGTAACCTGAGTAAATGCTAAATGCAATTTTAAATACTGATTGTATTTACCAAAG